TGCTCCTCATCGCCTGGGCCTCCCAGTCTCGTCGGCTCGTCGTTCATCGTTGTCGTTGTTCGTCGGTCGTCGGTTGTCGTCGTCGCTGACGTCGTCATCGTCGTCGTCGTCGTCCGTCGTCGGTGTCCGTCGTCGGTCGTCGTCCGTCGGTTCGTCGTCGTCGTCGTCGTCGTCGTCGGCATCGTCATGGTCGTCGTGGCCGTCTCCGTCGTCGCCGTCGCCGTCGCCGCCGCTGCCGTCGTCGTCGTCGTCGTCGTCGTCGTCGTCGTCGTCGTCGTCGTCGTCGTCGTCGTCGTCGTCGTCGTCGTCGTCGTCGTCGTCGTCGTCGTCGTCGTCGGCGTCGGTCGTCGGACGTCGTTGTCGTCGGCGTCGGCGTCGGCGTCGGCGTCGGCGTCGTCGTCGTCGCCGTTGTCGTCGTCGTCGTCGTCGTCGTCGTCGTCGTCGTTGCTGTCGGCGTCGTCGCCGTTGCTGTCGGCGTCGTCGCCGTCGTCGGTGTCGTCGTCGTTGTCGTCGTCGGCGTCGTGGTCGGCGTCGGCGTCGTCGGCGTCGTCGCGACATTGTGTGCCATCAGTCGTCAGATCGCAGAAAGTGTGGAGGATGATCGAAGACCGACGATCGGGGCTAGTGCGCCCTGAAGCATGCTTAGGTCTCTGGGGACGCCCCTCGTCGCCCAGGCTGGAGACATCCAAGTTCCAGGTCGGCACACGCCCACGGAGAAATCTGGGGGTCGCCCGCAGATGTGCTTGTGGGGCGGATGTCCGTGCTCTCCGAACGCCATCTGCGATGCGGGATCCGCTGGCCTCATGGCTCCCTGCGGGGTCGTCGGGGTGATCGAACCTGGCGGCTGCTGATGCTGCGCAGGCTGCGTCTGGGTCATCGGCGAAGGATGGCGTGGCTGCAGTGCAGTCATCACGGCGCCGAGGCCCGTAGGCGAGGATCTTGGATCCTCCGCAGGCCGACGAGGGGGGGACTCCGCTGTCTGTTCATGGCGCCGACCGCGTGCCTGAGGAGATCAATTCTTTTTTCTCATCTGGCGGGTAGCGGTCGTTGCCCGGGGTGTTCTGGCCCCCGAGGAATGGTAACGCGTGGGCGGGGCGGGGCTCGTCGGGGCTGTGGGTGGGGTTCATCGCTTCGAACAAACAAAACGTGCCTTCGTGCACCTGCATGTCGGGGGGGTCCAAATCCCCCTAGATGCGATCGTTACCGTTGCCCGGAGAGGGTGGTTGGCCCGGGTAACGAGCGTTGCCCGTCAGAGGGTAGAAGAACAACCTCGAGCTCGGCGGCTGAGGGGCTGTCGCCTGCGTTGGTCTGAATACCCAGGTCGGCTGTTGTGTCTGGGGCGTTGGCGAGCCTGCCTTCGCCAGTTCCGCGGCAGTTGAGGGGGCGTCTTGGCCGAGAGCAAGGTCATGCCGACGTTGATCGTTGGGGTCGGGTCCTCCATCGGCTGCATGGATCACGTCTGGGATGGCACTATGAAGAATCCACTGCCTGCGGTGTCGGCATGTTCGTGGTTGGGGTGCGTGGCAGCTCCGCTCCTGGACGCCTCCCTGCGAGATCGCAGCGGGCCGGAAACCCCATGTGCTCGGTCTGGCCCGCCGCTGCAGTGAGCTGGCCCGCTGGCCCTTGGTGGTGCCCTCGATGCTGTTGGCGAGAAGTACTGCGCCCACGGCGTTCTTGGACTGCGGTCCTTGGACGGTTTCCCTGTCAAGTACTTGTGGCGGGATCGTCGTCGCAGCTGGCATGGGGGCGGTGGCCGTTATCCCTGTTGCAATGCTAGTCTACCCTGGCACCGTTGCCACTGGCTGGTCATGTGACGCTGGTGGCAGCACCAATGCTCCCTGGACTATTGGGAGGATGCCCGGGCGAGACTGCATAGCGCCCGCCGCTGCCGGGAAGAAAACGAGAAGCTGGTCCATGACTGAGTCCTGCAGTGCCTGTCGGACGCAGACCTGCAGTAGAAGCTGCGGCTCGTCTGGCTGGATCTGCTGCTGCTGCTGCTGCTGTGGATGAGGTGCTTGTGACGCGGCAGCCCCTGGATCGTGCGGGGGCCTTGGCCCCGTGGGCTGCTGCTGGAGGAACTGACGGTTGCGCCCCTGAGTCGGGCTCGTCTTCCGTCTCGTCGCCTGTTCCTGGTTTGCCAGGGGCTCCTGCGTGCACGCACTGGTCTGCTGGGTCTCGCCTCGATAGGCTTGTCCTACTCCTGGAACTCCTTGATATTGTTTCGCACTGTGAGGAGACGCTCTCTGCTTCTCGTGTTTTCCGCTGAAGGCCTTGACCTGGTCGCGTCTGGCCTCCGTCAAAGAGATCCGGTATCGGAGAGCTGCCCTCTTGCACGTATGATGTCGTCTGTTCTGTGACTAAGCTGGCGACGTCGTAGGTGCGGCCCTCGCCTTCTTTCTGCGTCCGCAGGGGCAGTACCACGTTGCTGTCATCCACCGCGGATGGGCGGCGCCGTGCTGTGCCTGCTGAACGCTCTGATGCGCTCGCAGGAGCTGTGATG